AAAAAAAAAAAAAAAAAAAAATAAGTTATGCATTTTGTTACAAAAATAACCAATAATATTTTGATCATTCCTTGTAAAGAAGCAGATGAGAAGAGTAAAACATGACAAGCTCCTTAGATTGCCTATAGATTTTTTTCCAAAAGAGGTTCAGCAAGAAACTAGCAAATATTTATGTTGTCATTTTTGGGAAATTCAAGGCAGGCATCATTCTAGGCAAAATCTCTGACTCCATTTGAGCTTATGCATTTCTCAGTGTGGGTTTGGGTTTGATGGCTTGTTTTTTATTTTTGTGAACTTTCATACACTTCTAGTTTATTGTAGATATTTGCAAACCACAGGCCCCAGCAATTTTAAGGCAATATTTAGCATTGCACAGAAATGTTGTGTTTATTATTAAAATGTTCCCGTATTGTGCCAGATTCTTTTATTTTCCCTTCCACAAAATCCATCTTAAAATTGCTGTTCTTTCTTCCTCTCTCTGCACCAACATTGTTTGTGACTTTTTCCATCCTCCAACTTCCCACTTCCCATCTGGGTTCCTTCATCCCTCACAACTCCAAGGTTTTGCCTCCCAATTATAACTCTCCTATAAAAAGTCTACCATCACCAACATGACCACCATTACCCCTCCTATCCTGGGCCTTTTTGTCTGGGGCTTCAGAAGCCAGGCACACAATCAAGATGAAAAATGCACTCTTGAAATAATTAGGGAGGGACAGATGTAGAGATTGTAGGGGTGAGGATGTGATCGCTCTTCAGGGGTGGAGGGGGGCGGCAGAAAAAAGAACCTCCCCTCTTTGGTGGCTTCAACTTAATCTCCTCTCACAATGGTTACTATGAAAGTTGCTATGGGAGGATGGTTGCTAAGGAGGCACTGTGGTTGCCAGGCAGTTGCTAGGATATAGGTACCAGCAGCTGCTAAGGAAGATGCTAAGGATGGTTCACAGGAAAGTTCTGATTAGCAGTAACCATTGGTGTGCAGCTTAAAGACTTATTTCAGAAATGCAACTGATGTAGCAATCAGCTGCTGCCTGAAATGCATGGAGGGGGGAAGGGGAGTGGAAAGATGGCTGCGCTGCAGGCAGGGGTTGCCTCCAACGTGGCTGAGCCTATGCTGCAGTTAGATGGAGGAAGGGCCCTAGTCTAAAGCAGACCTAGCTGGCAGCTTACCTTTTGCAGCCCTAAACAATTCATCATTCAATCCTACGCCCATCCCCCAAACCCTAGAAATGATTGCTTACTGATGAGATCAATCACTCAGGGTGCCCATATGCCCATTTGAAGACTGTTGATACAGGGGGTTCCGGGCTGTGGTTGGGATGGCTGTTTATGCAGCGGAAGACTCGGCTTGTGCTGATACGAGGAAGGAGAGGAAGACGTCAAAGGGAGGGATGGCAGATTAGAGGGGGGGGGAGAAGGGAAAGGGAAGCTCTAATCTTTTCTGGATGCCTCTGGTAGTCTATGTGCATGAAAAGAAATTACTGTAGACAATTGGCAACGGAGGAGTTCAGCCAGGAGGAGATAGAAAGAGAATCACACAGGGAAGAGAGTGATAAAGGCATTTGGGGGAGAGACAGAGAAGGCAAGAATATTAGAAGATGGAATGACTGGGAAATGGACAAATGAACAGGTAGAGATTTTAAAAAAGGGTAGGGAGAAGGCGGGGAGGGGAAACACATCTGTCTGGGGAAGGTATAATTTGTCTTGCAATAAATGGAGGACACCAGCAGAGAAGGTGACTAGTGAGGACTAGAACAGATGGGAAATTACAGCAATGGAGGCAGATGAGAGGAGATAGACAGAATTGATAAGGCAGAATGAGAACCAGTTTAGAAGAAGAGGATACAGCGATAGAGGGAGAGAAGAATGGGATGGTGGAGGGGAGAGAAGTGGTGAAAATGACTGACTCATTTTCAGAAACCAGGCATCTGTTTAAAGAACAGATCCATGCAGCAGCCAAGCAAAATATGAAATGAGCAGGAAGAAATAGAAAACGAGAGTTGAAAGGGCACCCTATGAATTGGCCTGGGCAATTCGGAATGGCTGGGCAGGCCAGCAGATTTGCATAAGATGTTCTAACTTTGCCCGAAGATGCCCAATATTATGGCTGATTGGGGTCTCCGTGGTCTCCTCTCCCCGCTCCTCCCTGACCCCTCTACTTGGCACTCTCGACCAGAGCCAGCCATAGCTGTGCTAGGTTCTCTAGCCCTCTTGTTCATCTGGTACTGCTATCGTGTGGGTACAGGGCAGGTAGCCCCTGTGTCTCATCCACAAGGTGTGCCGACCGACGAAGGATGCCCTCGCCATACCCTCAGGGGTGATGCCATCAATCAGCGCCTGTATCGCAGCCTGCGAGATTACGCCAAGCGCTATTCGTGGTCAGGTATGAACCGGCTGCACAAAGGTATCCGGGACCAAGCCCATTATCAGCTAGGTGAACGGATGGCAATCCAGAAGCCCAGCGCTTTCTACCTCCCCGACTTGCCTTTGGCCCCCTATTTTCCCCACAAGTCCCAGCGTCACGATGTGGAGATTCTTGAACTCAGTTTCCCAGCCATCCTACGGGAATTTGAGGGCATTGCAAGGGACTTTGAACCCGGAGCGCCAATGCCACGGGGATGGATGGTCAACGCCAACCCTGGCTGGCACAGTTATTACCTCTACCGACAGGGGGAGTGCATAGCACAGAATTGCCGCAGCTGCCCATGGACATATCAGGCACTGAGCGCGCTACGCACCTTTATCAACGCCAATTGCTTTGGAAACGCCTGCTTTAATGTCTTGCAGCCTGGAACTGTGCTACCTGGCACCTATGGGCCAACGAACACCAGGGTACGGTGCCACCTAGGTGAGTGAACGCTGGAGGAGCAATGAATGGGGCAGATCACAGTGCCTACTTGGTAGGGAAGGGGCCCCAGTATCTGAAAACCTGTATTGCCAGCATCTCCTTTCAGTGTAATACATGCTGCCTAATTCCTGAACTCTTTTGTTCCCTAAACAGGAGCTGTTTATAAGCTTGGTTTATCATTATTATTCTATTTTATTAACTAAGCTATTTATAATTACTAGCAGCCAAACAAGCAGATTGGAATAATTGTTGTGAACTGCAGCACTGCTTCAGATGAATTTGCTCCAAAAACCATAAGCAAATCTTATTTTTTAGAAAATCTGCAGGTGAAAAGTGGCATTTCAGAAGAGGCATTCTTTGTAGGATGGCTCTTCAGGGGAGGTGCTATGAGAAAGAGGCATCATTGGCCAACACTTTGATTCACAGTGCAAGTCTGATGGGTAGGTGGGGTAGGTAGTACAAGGAGCATCAAGTAAACTACTTTTATCTTTTTATTTAAAACATTTTTAGCCCCCCATCCCCAGTCTTATAACCAACTCTGGGTGGCTCCTAATCAAAAGTTTTCTAAAAGTTTAAAATTTTTCATTCTCTCACATTAAAATATCAGGCATTTGACCTCAAGTGAAGGCAGGAGGATATGTAGAGTTTTTCAGAAAATGTTTTTTTTAATGTTGTGCAGATCTTCTTTTCCAGGTCTCCAATTATCTTCTGTGGTCCCAAAGGTGCTTTTTCCAAAAGGCAACTGGACTTTCTTGCTTCTTTTCTTTGAAAACTTTTCGCTTCTCATCCAAGAAGCTTCTTCGTTTACTGAAGAAGTTTCTTGGATGAGAAGCTAAAGGTTTTCAAAAGAAAAAAAGCCAAGAAAGTCCAGTTGCCTTTTGGAAAAAGCACCTTTGGGACAACCATGACCTGGATGACTGAGAATCTCTGTAGACAATTATCTTCTGTAATTTCTATATTCCTGCTATGACTGTCGTTTGCAAGACAGGCAGCTTTTTAACTTTCTGCTAAACCAAGAAGAGGGTCCCCAGGTTGTGGCCACAATTCTGGATGGGGTGATAAAAATTCTATATCAAAATGGGATACCCATTCTTGGTTTTGCAAATGACATCTCCCTCTTTCTCCCAGCGTAGGAAGTTTTTTTCCATCATTAGTGCTTTAAATCAGCATGTTTCTGTTCTCTCTCTTGTATGAGGGAGTGGGGTGGGAGGTGGGATACAAAGCATCCTTCATTAAGCCTCCCTCTCACAGCTTCTTCATTCTTCTTCTAGGGTTAAAAGTGCCACCTGGTTGTGAGTTGGTGGTGGGTGGTGAACCACAGTGCTGGTCTGAAGGATACTGCCTTCTGGTGGACGATTCCTTCTTGCACACCACAGCCCATAATGGTAAGAGAGCACAGAAAGCATGTGTGAGGGCTGAAGTGAGTTGACTTCAAAAATCTGTCTTCCCAAAAAAGAGATGGGGACTAGGACTTCCTTGAAAGTTCTCCATTGTATAAATTTGTCCTGAATAAGAGTGCTCATCTGCACATTTCAATTTTAGGAATGTTACCCCGAGGTTGATTGATTGTCTCTTATCTCACTTCTACAGTGAGACATGACCTCTTTAAAAGGTCTCAGAGTATGATGGATCCAATTAAATGCTGTCCTATTAAATTCACGACCATCTGACTACATCTAGACAATTTTCTTTCCTACCATTCTCTCTGTGTAGGATTTCGGGAAGTTTTCCAAAGAGAATGTACATTGCACAATTTTAAGACTCCACCTAACGGAGGGTTGGGGTATTTTATTTATTTCCAGGGAAAGGTCTTTCTTGCAGGAATAATCTGTTCAGAGCTGCATTGTGGAACAATGATGGGCAGAGCTGAAGCGAGTGAAAGGTGAAGTCCGAAGATAAAATAGGTAGCACCAAAATCCTCCTACCCATTTTCTGGTATTCTATTATTTTGGTGATTGTTTGACAACACCAAACATACATAATCGGCCAACACTCTGATTCACAGTGTAAGTATGATGAGTAGGTGGGTAGGTAGTACAAAGTGCATCAAGTAAACTCTTTTTACCTTTTTATTTAAAACATTTATATAGCCCCCATCCCCGGTCTTATAACCAACTCTGGGTGGCTCCTAATCAAGTTTTCTAAAAGTTTAAAATTTTAGGCCAGCGTTTTGCTGAATTATCTGGGCACACAAAGCAGATTAACTAGTCTAAACCATTAACTATGGAGTGGGTTTTCTGGATTTGTCCAACATGCTGTTCTAAAATATGGTTGGCAAGTATCACACTAAACCACAAACTAGCCAACCTCATTTATATCCCATATGTTTGCAGCATCAAACTATGTCTTTTTGATGTAATTTTTTCTTTCATTTCACCTGGCAAGCTATCAGGGTGAGAAACATCATTTTGGTCAGATCTGCTTCAATTGTTGAAAAGGATTTGAAATTAAATTGAGGGCTATGTGTAATATTGGGACTACTTGTGAGATGATAATTGCAACCATCTTTGTTACAGGTTCCCCTAGCGATGGACCTCAGGTGATTTTTATTGCTGATCTCTGGCATCCCAACGTAGCAGGACCTGAGCGACAGGCATTAGATTATATCTTTGCCCCTGGTTGATAGATGCTTGACCTAACAAGTATTGGGGGCATGGACACAATCTCACAAATATTTGCTGCTCCTCACAAAAACTCAACCACTCCCTACACTGTTGTCTTGATCTAGATTCATTGTTTTGCAGACTGAATTAGGTCCAATGTGTAATGCAAAAGCCACAAAGAGATTTGCGAAGCCATGAAAATGTCTTTTTCTTCAAGGTGATTCTGTGCCCTTTCATAAGACTCATCCTAGAGATTTTTGTGATCTGGGACATTTTAGTTTCCTTTCTTGCACTGTATAGTTCCTTGTTGTTTTTTTTCCTTTTACGGCACTGTTCTGTTCAGCCTGTGCAGGTGGGAATGTTGCTGACTACACTCTAGTAGTAGTTACCCTCAAATTTAATGAAGTATATGAAATCCACGTTCTGTATTAATAGTATAAATTTCTCCAGGATTATTTTGGGAAGAAAAGGAGGGTAAGAATTAACCAAAGTATAATACTCTGTTTCCACCTGTCTATGACAAATTGTTATTCTTACACAATATCTGTAGCTCAACATTTGTGTCAAGGGATTTAATTTCAAAAAATTCTAGCCAGCTGTATTCCAATAAAATCCTTAGAGACTCATGGTTTTTTTTGTCCAGACATTTTTTTCTTGCAGGAGAAACCATTCAGAACTTACTCATAAGATGTGCTTTATGAGATTAAAGGCACTAGCCACAATTTTACTCTTGAACATCAGCCAGGTTTATTTAAAAAGTGCATTAAACTCTGATGTCGGGAAGTGCAACCACAGTTGAGGGAAAATCACATGGGATGGAGATTAAAAGCTGCAGGAGTTAAGGTGGAGATCTCTAAAAAAAGTCACTGAAATCACTGACAGGATAGTACTAGTATATGAGGAGAACATATAACACATATTTGTCAGGAATATCACTATCCCAAATCAAGCAAGCTCTTTTTCATTCATGTTTCCTGTACACTTTTAAAAATATTTTTAATTAGAATGTTACAGTACAGGTAGTCCTCGACTTACGACCACAATTGAGCCCAAAATTTCTGTTGTTAATGAGACATTTAAGTGAATTTTGCCCCATTTTACGACCTTTCTTGCCACAGTTATTAAGTGAATCACTGCAGCTGTTAAGTTAGTAACACGGTTGTTAAGTGAGTCTGGCTTCCCCATTGACTTTGCTTGTCAGGTCGCAAAAGCTGATCCCATGACCCCAGGATGCTGCAGCGGTCATAAATATGAGTCAGTTGCCAAGCATCCAAATTTTGATCTAGTGACCATGGGGATGCTGTGACAGTTGTGTGAAAAAACGGTCATAAGTCATGAGCAGGGGGCTGGACTAGAAGACCTCCAAGGTCCCTTCCAGCTTCTATTCTATTCTATTCTATTCTATTCTATTCTATTCTATTCTATTTTTTTCAGTGCCATTGTAACTTTGAACGGTTGCTAAATGAACTGTTGTAAGTCAAGGACTACCTGTACAATAAAAGTATAAAAAGTTAAAAAAGAAAGAGAAAAATGAATCAAAAGAAAGAAAAACAGAAATTTGCCCTCCTACTCCTATCTTATTCTTTGCCTTCTCTTTCTGATTCCCAAACTCATAAGACGTCAGTTCAGCCTTTTCTTCTTACACCAAAAACTCCATTTAAGACTTCCAATCTTTTAAAAGTCTTTGTCGTTTTTCCCCATCAGATTCCTGTACACATTTTGTTTTAAATCCTCACACAGTATGAGTCACTGTTGTTCACCTCTTATACTTGTTCTTAAGGGGTTTTTTTTTAAACTTTGGCAGTGGGATCTTATCATCCCTCAAATAATACTTTTAAAGGGTACATGGATTATATGCTAAAAGAAGCACACCGCGCACAAAAAAGAGCATCTCACACTTTTGAAGTGGAATCTGCTAAGTTTATTTGCCAGATTTATGTCTATTTGTCCAAGTCTAATTATGTCCAGCAGGAATTCTAAATGCAGTTTTTCTCTTTTTCCTACACAAGTTCCCGAGAGGAGAACAAAAGACTCACTGTGTCCTCTCCATTACGTTGTGGAGATTACAGTCACATTTTCCATCTATGCATGTAAACGTAGACATGCTGATGTTTACAAATTGTTTATAAGTTAAAGTTGATCGAGTTTGGTTACCATTTAAGATTTCTAATTAACGGACTTCCAGTGGCGTTCGCCGCGCCGATGGCGGCTTTCTTTTAAGCCGTCCGTCTCAGGGCTGCGTGAAAGCTGCAGGAACAGCGCTCAACAGCTGTTCCGCGGCTTGAAACCTCTCTCCCCGGGCAAAGGGGAGGTGGTGAGTTCTTCGCCGGATAGAGGTTGAGTTCCCTAGTCCTCTTTTTAGAGGACGAAGGTGAGAACTCCCTCGGAGTCCGGTGATTTCTCCACACCTCGGGATGCCTTTGTTCTTCGGAACAAAGCCAGACGCTGCTTCCACCTCTGTCAATTAAAGAGACTGTGAGTAAAAATTTATAAACAGACGGAGCTGACCAGGAGGATTGGTTATTGGATAATCTTGAGACTTTAACTCAGAAAATAAGTATCTTCTTCATTTGTTATTTAAATTAGAAGAAGAAAGAAAAATATGGCTGTGGAAGGGTGTTTCCTTGTTTGATACTCAAGAGACTTTCACTTTTATCTGGTGCCTGAGAGAAGAGGAAACAATGTATTAGTTTTTGTTAATTCTAGTAAAGAGCAAGCTTTTTATTCCTTTTTTTTCTCTTTGTATATTCAATATTTGTTGCTTTTTTGAAATTATAAGAGACTTATAAGAAGTTAAAAGAAAGTAGTTAAAAGAAAGTAAAAAAAAATGGCTTCTAAACGTGTGGGAACTTCTGCTCCCCCGAAAGGCTCGGTCTCCTCTCCAGCTGTTCAAACACCTCAACAGCCAAAACCTAAGACTCCTCCACCTTCCCCCCTATCTCCCCAAATTACACTCAAAGATTTACAAGATGCTTTGATGAACACAGCAAAACAGATTCGAATAGAGGCAGAGGAGCTTTTTGAAAGGAAAAATGCAGAGATGAGAGAAGACATATTGTTAGCTCTTCAAGGTCTGGCATCTCACTCAGAATGCATAGAAGGACGGGTTGAGGAGGTGGAGGAAAATGTTGAAAGACTGGAATATAGACTTGGAAAAGTGGAGGAGAATGTGGATTTATCTCAGAATGAAATTATTATGTCACAATATAGAGATATGGAATTTGCTTTGAGAATAAGGGGATTGAAGGAGAATGTTTAAGAAAATTTGAAGGAAGAGATTGCAGCAGATTTGGCTTTGGTTTTGTCTTGCGAACCTGAACAAATTATGAAAGAAATAGAAAAAATCTTTAGGGTTAATTCATGGGTCGCAAGACAGAAGAATCTGCCAAGAGATGTTGTAATCTACTTTTCTAGAAGATCAATTCGTAACGAAATAATTCAAGCCTTTTATAAGCAGAGATTCCAAATTGCAGCACAGGATGTTATAATTCTAAAGGAAATACCATCTAAAATACTTAGGAGAAGAAAGGATTTTGCTTTTCTGGCTGATGAGCTGAAAAAGCGACAAATTCAATTCAGATGGGATATACCTGTTGGCATATTTGTGAATTATATGGGAACACGTTACAGATTGAATTCAATTCAAAAAGCAAGAGATTTTTATACTTCAGTTTTGAAAGCAGGTTTACCATCATCTCCACGAGTTACTAGAAAGGAAGGATTGCTTGAAGAACAAGCGTTTGAAGGAGCTACATCATCAGGAGTAATAGATTTACAGGAGAAAAGCAAGCAGCAATTTTTGGAGATGAAAGACGATCCTAAGACACAAAGAATGACCCGTGCAGCTCATAGACGTAAAGAAAAAGAACGGCAAAAATCTGATGTTGTACCTGCAGCATATCAACTTACGTCAGAGCCAGTGGGAGGTACAAGACCGAAGAGATCAGTGACAGCTGACCTTCAAGGACTGTTCCAGAGGCTCTCTGCCACCAAAGATGGCAAGGTTTCTGACATGGAATGTTAATGGTTTGAATTCACCACAGAAAAGAAAAAAGTTATTTCATTATTTGAAACAACATAAAAATGATGTTGTGTGTTTGCAAGAAACTCATATTGCTGCAAAGGATCAAAAGTATTTGATTAACTCACGGTTGGGAACACATTTTATAGCACCTGCTCCACAGAAAAAGGGCGGGGTAATTATTTAGGAGGGAAGATATGTGTTTATTGAGCTAATTTTGAATGGAAGCAGATGTCTTATTATTGGATTATATGCCCCAAATCAACAACAGAAACAGTTTTACAAGTTGATGCATCAAAAATTAAACCAATTGGATTACAAATCAGTTATTATGATGGGGGACTGGAATGGAGTTTTAGACTCAAGTAAAGACAAGAAAGGTTCCTTCAAAGCTTCAAATTATTCTACATTGCTGAAAACTTTTTTTGATTTGAAGGATGATCTGGAGTTAAGAGACATCTGGCGAGAGCGAAATAGAGAAGAAAGAGACTTTACTTTTTTCTCGGACAGACATCAATCTCATTCTAGAATTGACTTTTTTTTAATTACTAATGATTTCTTTTCTAGGGTGAAGAATATCAAGATTTTTCCTAGAACATTGTCAGATCATAGTCCTGTATGGATGGAACTTTTGGCTGAAGAAGGGAATAAAAGGTCTTGGAGGTTAAATGAAAATTTATTTAGATATGAGGGAAATTTGCAGAAATGTAAAGATCAATTGAAAGAATTCTTTTTATTGAATATGCATAAAGACACCTCAGTGTCGATGGTCTGGAATGCTAGCAAAGCATATATGAGAGGTGCTTTGATTTATATGAATAATGCACATAGGCATAAACAGATGCAAAAACGAAAAGAGTTAGAAGATGAGATTAAATTAAAAGAAAAGGCTTTTATTGTAAATCCTTTGGATAATAAATTAAAGGTTTCTATAACTATGCTTAGGGAGCAATTCAATATGTTAATGGCGGATCAGACTGCAACTAATTTGCGTTATATGAAATATAACACATTTTGTAATGCAAACAAACCTGGTAGATGGTTGGCCTACCAACTACGAAAGAAGCAGAAGTCAAGAGTTATAGATAAAATAGATTACAAGGGGAAAGTGACATATCAACAAAAATTGATTAAAAGAATTTTTTTGGATTTTTACTCAAAGTTATATGCCTCTGAAAATATACAATTTTTAGAAATAGAGAATTACTTACAGCAAGCACATTTTCCTAGACTATCAAATAGTCAGAGGGAAGAAATGAATTGTTTAATAACTTCGGAGGAAATTATGGGGGTAATTAAGCAATTAAAAGTTGGTAAAGCTCCAGGTACAGATGGCTTA